ATCTGCTGTACAACACTGCGCCTGCAGTTAATTACACTCTATTGTACACTTAAAAATTTAAGAGGGTAGATGTCACGTTAAATGTTCTCACTTTGATAAAAAGAAGTTTTAGGAGATCTACAGACTCATACGAATAACTAGAGAAAATATGTATATATGCGTCCATCTAAATGAAAACACAAAATTTTAAAATTCTTGTAGCAAATTCAGCACGCCCCAAGAATACATCCTTTTGCAGACTTAGTTTAAGCCACTCTGTCCTAAACAGCTAACGACTCCCCCTGTACCTTTCTCTGAACCTTGTATATGCCTCTGTCCCTGTGCTTGTCATTTCCTAATATACTTCTTTGTTTTCTCATCTCTTTTGTCCTTGTCCGGGAGCCTTTTGATGTGGGCAAGTGCCCGTCTCTGTTCCCTTACAGATAAATCTAATTATTTAACATTGGACAAATGTTCTATAAATACCGGTTGCTTTGAAAGAAGCTATAGAAAAACTCATCACACCTTGAAGGAGGCCCATCAGTAAGACAAATCTGAAATGATTCCTACTTGCAACCTGTACGGTATACAAAAAAGGAAAACCCATTAAAAAGTACTCGAGTACTTTTAACAACCTGACTTTGATGACCCGCAAAGACCAAGGAGAACATCTTATTCCCCTTGACAGGTATGTATTATGTATCCTTTTTATCAGAACTCAGAGATTTTGTTCATCCTTCCTGTTCAATCAGCACCAAGAGGCGTAATGGATGTGAACGGTTCCTAATGAATCTGGGACCCCCCTCCCAGCCCCCTGTTTCAGGGTAGAGCCATGAGCTCATTTACAGAAAGCCTTGCCAGGCTCTGCATATGGTTTGTAATATAAATAGATCACATTTGAGGCATATCAGCAAGATAGAGGAGGCTTGCCCTCCCCAAAGTCTGCTGAAGTAGAAATTCTCACCTAAAAAAGTAGGCAAGCCACCTCTACTTTCTACTTCTCAGGGAATTTAAGGATGTGTTGTGTGAAAATTTCACTCCTTGGCAAGCTTAGACGAGTCTTGGACCATCCAAAAATAAAATATGCCAAAGCTAAAGACGAAATGGTAATCCTGTTTAATGTCACCCTTTTACCTATCATTGGGCTTCGTGACTGCATATTTATTACCATCAATTTAAGTTCCTGATCAGGATTATAACCTATTGCATGGCCCAAACTACAGTGATCAGATTCTGTTTTGTTATTTGTAAATAAAATCTGATAGTCTGGCTTCCTCGTGATATGAGTCTCCATTAAAATAAAAACAAATCTACAGGATAAAACTGACCACAAAACCAAATGAACCTAAGCTGCACAATAGTCCTAAACAAGGGGGCTTTCCAGTATCTTTCAACATCTAATTATTTGTTTGTTTTTAATATTTTTCTATTTTTTTTAATTTCAAGACTCACGAGAAGTTGCAGAAATAATCTAGAGTTCTGTACATACTCCGCCCAGCTTCTCCGAATGAGAATATCTGGCCTAACTATAGCGCACTGCCGAAGCCAGAAACGGACGTTGATACAGTACCGTTAGCCCACCTAATCATCTTGTTTGCATTACACGCCTCTGTGCCATGCTCTCGGGCACAGAGGATATAGGGTGCTATTTTATTTATTTATTTATTCATTCATTCGTTCGTTCATTCATTCATTCATTCATTTATTATTTTTAGGCGAGGCGACCCTTGGTTGACCTCACAGATTGCAAGGACCTTGTCAGCTTACAATCCCTTATTTTTTATTTTTTATGCCTACAGCACCTGGTTTCCCATCCAAATACTAACCAGACCAACCCTGCTTAGCTTCTGAGATGAGATGGGATCGGGCATATTCAGGGTGGCATGGGTGTAGACCACACTGTTATTATTTTTAAACGTTTATGGAAATCCGACTATGTACTAGGCACTGTTACGCACTTTCGCATAATAACCTCGTGAGGTAAATTTATTATCTCCATTTTGGAGTGAGGAGACTTAACTATGAAGGGCAAAGCAGATATGTCCCCTCCTTTCGATTCTTCGGTATCAGGCACGTGGCTAAGAGGCACTCTCGTGTAATGACATTAATTTCAATATGAGGTATTGATTTTTTTAAACCTTTATATCGAGTCTTTATTAAGTCACAGCTCTTCAATTTTCAAATGTATCAAGAGAGAGTTCACACAATCTGTTCGCGTTTTTTTTTTTTAACTACCATTAGGCGTGAAGTGAGTGAAGACATCACAAAACAAAGAAGATTGTGCCTGCAGCTCAGGATGGCAAGGGCTCTAGGTCTTAAGTCCCTTTCCAGTCCTCAAAACCACAGTGACTCTATTTCTGCTCTTGTTTTTCTCCTGTACCCAGACGATAACGTTTTCATTCCCTGGTAATTATTTCTAAATATAAAATGAGAAAGAAGAAGAAGCATGTCTCTATCTTATGCTTCTTAATGTTACTTGTAACCTCCTATTTAATTCCCCACTAGAAAACACTGTCCACTGCGCTATCGTCAGGCTGCATGCAGTTCGAAAATGTATGACCTCCCCAAAAGGGGAAGGGATTAAGCAGTGCAAATTGGCAGTTACAAAACAGTCACGGGTACATGGAGTACAGCACTGGGAATACAGTCAATAATATTGTAATAACTACGTGTGGTGCCAGGTGGGGACTAGACTAAACGGGGGGATCATTTCGTAAGATATATAAATGTCTCGCCACTATGCTGTACACCTGAAACTAATATAAAATAATATCGAATGTCAACTGTAATTGAAAAAAAGAGAAAAAAAATGGATGGCCTTAATGCTTCATGTGCCCTTGTCCTTTCTACCACCACCGGGGGGCCCAGAAATATGATGGAGCTCACTGGGGCTCGGCCCTGAGCTACGGAGCGTTCCTTGTTGTCTGACCTCTGCCTTTCATCAGCTATTAAACCAAGCTCACCTGAAACAGTTGGGACCCCACAAATGAGTTCTCCCCTTATTTTACTGGCCACTCCTTTTCGGTGCCTTTTCCTATTTCCTCCTCCTCTTTCTGACCTCCAAAGCTGGAGTCCTTGGGCACCATCATCGGCCTTTTCCCTAAAACGGCGATTCCCTACCAAGAGTGACTTTCGCCCTCGGTGACATCTGGCAATGTCTGCAGATATATTTGCTTGTCACAGCTGGGGGTGAGTTGGGTGTGTATGTTAATGGCATCTAGTGGGTAGGGGTCTGGATGCTGCTGAACACCTTATCATGTACATTGCAGGACAGGACAGGCCCCATGACAAAGAACGCTCGCACCTCAAATGTCAGCAGCAGCAGCCTTAGGAGATCTTGCCTTCAAAGATTTTATCCGATACTATAATATACTCAGATTCGGTCTACATGCTGACTCCCGAATTTCAATCTCTAGGCTTGCCTTTTCTCCCAACTCTCGTTTCTTATATGCAACTGTCTCCACTTCTGTCTGTTAGGTGCCTCCAACTTCACTTGTTCACAAGCAAACTCACTCTCACCCACAAATTTGCTTCTCCCCCAGTCCTCCCCTTGGCAGTGATGGCACCGTCCAGAGAACGGTCTCAGATCCAAATTCTGATTGTATGGAGATCCTTTGACACGGGCAGACTATGATTAGAATCAAAGAATAGTGGAACTGTTAGGGACCTGTCTCTGGTCGATGAGGAGTATGAGATGCACCCAAACCTACACTTTTAATGTGATGGCAGAGCCGAAATGAATACTATTGTTTCTTAAAGCTTCCGGGCCGACAAGCTTTCCTGTGGCTGACTTAGCTCCCTTAGGTAAAATATGTAGCTCATTTGCTTTTGCCTCATTATTTTCCTATGTTATTGTTAGATACACAGTTTCCTATAGTGCAGGAGTCAGCAACCTATGGCCCGCAGGCCAAATCTGGCCGGCCACCTGTTTTTGTATAGCCCGTAAGAACGATTTTACCATTCTTAAAAAGGAAAAATTCCAAAGAGCATTGGTAATTCAGACCATGTTAAAACTACATTAAAAACAAATACAGTATGTGTAAATAAAGTTTTATTGGAACATCATTCATTCATTCATTCACTCATTCATTTAGGTATATCGTCTCTGGCTGCCTATGCACCACGACAGCAGAGCTGAGTAGTCACAATACACACCATCTGGCTGGCAAACTGAAAACGTTCACTGGCCCTTTACAGAAAAAATTTGCTGACTCCGGTATACTGACAGGAGCTCAAATTTTAGAGTTAAAAAAACAAACATGGATTCGTTTTGTCTCAGCTGGTAGTGTGATCTTTGAGCATGATTCAGTGTCAGTGAACCTCAAGTTAAATGGGGATAATGAGACTTTCTTTGAGGGATTGTTAGACATAGTAATGCCTATAAAGGCTTGGAGTATACTAGAACTCAACAAATATTAGCAATGATAATAACGCTACTTACTAATATTATTATTAGCACCAACTTTACCCTCAAAATTTCCCCTTTGGTATGTTCTGAGAGTTCCTGTGTCAAATGTCTTTTGAAATTCAGGCAAATACACAATACACAAGTTAAAACAAATATCCTGGTCCCTTTCATCCAATAGTTGGGTGATAACAGAACAAATTCCCATCACATCATGTTCTGATGGCAAACTGGAGGGAGGTTAATATCTTTCTAATTCACATGTCATTGCACGCAATCATGAATTCCCCGAGTAATTAGTTTCCTGGAAAATTGTCTCCTGAGTGAATAAAGGTGACAGCATTTGAAATATGAAATCATCATGACCTGCCCAATCCTCTTTCCAACTGTCTTATTCCAGACTGTCAGACAATAAGTTTAGTTAACAGAAAACGGGGAACCAACATTAAGTTAGTAAATAGCATATAGAAACAGTCCCCAGGCTACCTGAACCTTTTCAAAGGTTCTGGTACTTAGAGTGGCACTTAGGCCACAGACGCAGAGACTGGCTGCGAGTTTTAGTTAGTATCCCCATAGGCTTCCAGGGATCGGAGATGGGAACATGCTTGATACTCACCTTGCCTGTGGCTTCCATCGGGGCCTTGACCTTGACCTTGGCCACCTTCAGTCCTTCAGAAAATTCTGCCATCCCTGGTGGCTTCTCGGCCTCAGGCGTGCCTCCTGGCTTCCATCTCATCCCTAGAGTGAAAAAGAGGTCAACTCTAGCTCTTTTTCTTTGTGTGACCCCATCCTCTCCCCGTTTTGCATCCCGCCATTTTCTCCTGCTCTCTGGGCAGTTTGGGCACAGCAGAGAGTCACTTCCAGCCTCCTCCGACTTCCTCTTCCCGCCGGACTCCCCTTTCTATGGCACTTTCTAGGATGATCCACATCCCTCACGAGTGACAAGACGTCACCTTGCTAATTAACATATGGCCTAATTATGGCAGCGTTACACTTTAGAAGACAGAATTAAAATCTGAAATGACCTAAGTAATTAGGAGGGGCAAGCAGAGACAAATGAAAAGTAGCAGGAATAAGGTATGGGTGGCCAATGACTTGGCCATGTCCTGTGAAGCTGAGAGCAACTGGCCCCGACTCAGGTGATAGACACCTGGGAACTGACTCCGAGCGGACTGTTCTTATGAAAAGGGAGCATCCTATGTAGAGCAAGAGAGGATTTTCTTTCCTCCTCCCCCTCTTCCTCCAACATCCCTGGTGTTGAGGCGTTGCTTGATAAGATAGAGTAAATGAAATCAGAAAAATCCACACCCACAAAGTTGAATTTTCAGAGGACGTTGCATAAGAGACAGGACAGTAGGGGTCGGGGCAGTGTGATAGCTTTTTTTGTGTGTGGCGGGGGAGGGATTTTTATATGATTTTTTTATTTTTTGAACTTATTTTTAATTATAGTTGACATACGCGTGATAGCTTAACTCGTGTGCTGAGGTCGACACTGCTAGTAAGCGGTCCCTACTCTGTTGTAACTTTGGCCTAGGATTAGGACAAACAAGGACATCATGTGTGCATTGGTTGGGTTCCCCCAGAAGAAGACTTTGGATTAAGAATGTGAGTGCAAAGCGCTTATTTGGGAGATCTAGGAAATCCTGGCAGAGAATGAGAAATGAGATAGGGACAGGAAAGAAGGCAATAGAAGGTGTTAGCAAACCAGTTATCACTGTGGGCCACTGGAGCTCAATCCAGCTCGGGGGACAGAGCAGAAGAGGAGTCGGCCAACTTTTCCTATAAAGGGTCGGACAGTGACTATTTTCAGCTTAGTGGGCCAAATGATCTCTGTTACAACTATTCAGTTCTGCCTCTGTAATGTGAAAGCAGCCATGATAATACGTAAATAAATGGGTATGGCTGTTTTCCAACCATACATTATCTGCAAAACCAGACAGCCAGGACATGGGCTGTAGTTTGTCAACCCCTCGCTGTAAAAGTGTCTCTCAAACTCCTGTGGTGAAAAACCAATTTTTAAAAAAATGTCCAAAACAAGACTTATGGAAATACAACGAAAATGAATCACTAGAAAAAAAATGAAATAAAAAACACATACAAAATACAAGCCTTTTAAAAAATTATTAGTATCAAAAGATACACAATGTCTCTGCCCAACTGCTATGCGTTTCTAAATGCTTACTCTGAAGATCTGCACCTAACTTATCACAGACAGTTCTAGCCCTTGATTGCAGCCGCGGCCATCACCATAGTTCATAGTCCTATTGTCCTTCTTACCAGGCGAGGAGGCTGGGACAGTTTTCCACTGATACCTGCTCATCATTATCAAAGTGTGCTCCCTGACACATTGACACCTGGTGCTTCTGGTTTGTCTGGCACAGAGCCGAGCATATTTCTGCAGTCCAAGAAGGCACAGAGGCACAGGGACTCCCGGTAGGAAGTCGTAGTCATATATGAGAACAGTGAGAGCCAAGAGGTCATGGGCGGGACACTGTCACTGACCCTCTAATGTGACAGAGTAAAAAGACCACAGGCTTTGGAGGCAAAGAAATTGGAATAAAAGTCCTGGTCCTGCTACTTAACTTTCTCTCTCCATTTTCTTATCTAAAAAGTGAGTATAATATCATAAGGGTTGGGTTTGAGTTTCTGTTTTGTTTTTTTAAGACTTTATTTTTTTTTAGAGCAGTTTAAGGTTCACAGCAATATTAAGGGCAAGGTACAGAGATCTCCCTCTGCCCTCGCACATGCACAGCCTCCTCCACTATCAAAATACCCCACCAGAGAGGTACATTTGTTACAATTGATGGACCCACACTGACACATCATTATCACCCAAAGTCCATAGTTTACCTGACATTTCACGTTTGGTGTTGTACATTCTATGGGTTTTGACAAATGTATAATGACACGTATGCATCATTATCGTATCATACAGAGTATTTTCGCTGTCGAAAACTTCTCTGTGCTCTGCACACTTCCCCCTCCCCTGGCAACCACTGATCTTTTTACTGTCTCCATAGTTTTGCCTTTTCCAGAATGCCGTATAGTTGAAATCGTACAATATGTAGCCTTTTCAGATTGGCTTCTTTCACTTAGTCATATACATGTAAGGTTCCTCCATAGCTTTTCATATCTGATGGTTCATTCCTTTTTAGTGCTGAATAAGATTCCATCGTCCTATGTACCACTTTATTTGTCCATTCACCTACTGAAGGATATCTCAGTGGCTTCCAAGTTTTGGCAATTATGAATAAAGCTGCTACAAACACCCATTTGCAGTTTTTGTGTGGACATAAGTTTTCGGCTCTTTCTGTTAAATACCAAGGAGTGTGACTGTGGGACCATATGATAAGAGTATGTTTAATTTTGTAAAAAATGCTAACTGTCTTCCAAAGCGGCTGTACCATTTTGCATTCCCACCAGCAAGGAGAGTTCCTGTTGCTCCACATCCTCACTAACATTTCACGTTGTCAGTATTCCGGATTTTGACCATTCTAATAGGTATGCAGTGGTATCTCATTTTAATTTTTATTTCTCTGATGAAATATGATGTGGACCATCTTTTCATATGCTTATTTACCATCTATATATCTTCTTTGGTGAGGTGTCTGTTAAGGTCTTCGGCCTATTTGTTAATCGGGTTGTTCACTTTCTTATTGTTGAGTTTTAAGCGTTCTTTGTATACTTTGGATAACGGTCTTTTATCAGATGTCTTTTGCAAATGTTTTCTCCCAGTGTGTAGCTTGTCTTCTTATTCTTTATGCCTATGGTAGACGTTGTTTACTTTCAAGTGAGCAGGAATAAATACTTTCATTATACAAAGCTTTGAATGCACACAGTCCTCTATGACAGGATCTGTGACAAATTGTACAGCTTTTGAAAAACTGGGCTAATCATTTATTATAAAATGTTTTTGTTCCAAATGACCTAATGGTCAAGAATCTGCTAAATATTATCATGATGGTTAAATTTTACGTGTCAACTTGTCTAGGCTATGGCTGGTTGATTGGTCAAACACTAGCTTAGTGAAGGTACTGCAGATGTGATATCTACAGTCAGTTGTCGTTAAGTAAAAGAGATTATTCTCCATATTGTGGGTGGGCCTCATCCAAACAGTTGAGGGCCTCAAGAGCAAAAACTGAGGTTTACGGGAAATAAAAATTTCTGCCTTAAGACTACAACGCAGAAATCTTCCCTGAATTTCTAGCCTGCTGGCCTACCCTACACAATTAGAACTTTATTTATTCACATATTTCATGTAGGTAGAAACTAATAAGAAAATTACATTTAATGATCACGAAGTATCCTCTAATTATGTGTACTACCCCTGGTATGCCAGACGTGCTTCAGACGCTTGATGAATGGAAAAAGTAGGAAGAGAGGGAGGTGTTTCCATCTGCAAACTGAATTCTTCTGCAGTTTCTGCTTGGAAATCAAGATAGAGGTGGTCTGTAACAGCTGGTCTTGCTGCTGATAAAGACCACTCCCAGCACCTCTTGGACGGTTCGCCTTGTGCCACGCATAAAAGAAAAGGGCTGATGAATTGTTCTGCATAGACGCTGAGAGGAGAGATTTCCAAAACCGTAACTACTTCGAGAGACAATATGCCATTGATAAGAAATTATTTCAAATTGAGAAACGCATCTGCGTAAAAGAAATGTATGTAAAAGCCTGTTCATTCTTTTGTTAGCAAAACTGAATTCAGCCAGATAATCTTTCCCATATTATCACTAAGTGAGTTTTACGATAATTAGCAAGCTCTCCCAACAGAATGAAAGGCAGCTGATTTTCTAAATCACTTGCTTACCAATACACGATTGCAATTTAATAGGCCACTCTGAATAACTTATTTTTAGGACATATGTTTTGCATGCCATTATTTCCCCAAAGAGATGTTTTGTAAAATAAATTGTTTTTCATGTTCCTGACAGATTTGTATATAAATAGTAAATAGAAATACCTTCATAGGATCATAGGCCTGAATGTAAAAGGGAAAACCATACAATTTATGGAGGAAATCAAGAAACTATCTTCTTGACCTTATAGTAAGCAAATATTGTTGAAAAGGACTCAAAAAGCATTAACCATAAAATATAAAAGTGATATACAGAATTTCATCAAAATTAAAAGCTTCTGCTCATCAAAAGACACCATTAAGAAAATGAAAAGGCAAACCACAGACTATGATCAGATTTGCAATACGTAATCCATGACAAAGTACACAAATCCAGATGATAAAAAGAACTGCTACAAATCAATAATAAAAAGACAAACGACTGCATTTTTTAAATGGGATTTGAAAATACACTTCACAAAAGAAGATTATAAATGGCCAATAAGGACACGAAAAGATACTCAGCATCATTAGTCATCAGGAAATGCAAATTCAAGCCACAACGAGATACTACTATAAACCCAATACAATGGTTTAAATGGAAAGGTTAGCATTAACGAGTGGTAACTAGAATATAGAGCAATGGGAATTCTCATACGTTGGTGGTAGGGGTGTAAAATGGAGTGACATATTTGGAAAAGAGTTTGATACTTTCTTATATAGTTTCCATCCTCTTACTTCTAGGTATTCTATTCCTAGGTAGTTACCCAGTGGAAATGAAAACCTATGTCTACACAAAGACTTGTATATACATCTTCCTAGGAACTTTATTCATGGTAGCCAAAAACTAGAAACACCCACATTTCCATAACTGTAACCCAAGTAGCACGTATTCACAGACTGA